GAAACTGTAATGTTAATGTTTTTCCCAGTCATCCGGCCATTAACGCTGCATGATTTACATCCAACCGAACGCTCCGGACATCTGTCTGAATATTGCCCGGCGATAAATTGCATAAATTTTGTGCTTGCGTAAAAAATTTATAGGAAACGCTTTCTAACGCTGTTGTAATACCTTTTTTTACAGGAGCTAATCTCAATGGTAATGAGGCTCATTGTTATCAGCCGCGGGCCTGGAGTGTTCTTGCAACGGGGAGCAGAGTGACTCCGGGTTGTTTGGTTATCCTGTATGTGAACCTTTGTGTCCTTTTTTAATTTTTTTTTTTTGACTTCCGCTACACAGAAGTGGAAGAGAGAAATCTGGGTCTCTCTTATATACCATTCTGATACCAATTATGTAAACTGTTATAGAATTTAACCAGGCCAGCTCTTATCGGCTAATCCAGAAGTAATAGATTCTATTAAAAATGTATGAGGGGATTGGGGGCGATCTGCGTGAATGTGTGTGTGTGTGTATGGAGATGAATCCAGCAGCTGCAGAAGCGCTGCTGTCTAATTCTGTCTGTCTATAAGACGACTTGTCTGGTCTCCATTACTTAGACAGGTTCCTGCAGTGCCTACTTTGAAGACAGTATAAAAGCCATAGATAATATACAATTAATTATACAGTAAGTGGATTGTTATTCATGGACTATGCCATCCTCATTCAAAGAGAGAGACTCGGCCTCTCCTCTTCCACAATAACTAATTGTTCTTTGTTATTCATTTATTTATTCCTAAATTAACCTTCTGCTTTTTTGCTTTTGTGTTCTTTCTCTTTCCCCCCATCCTCCTCCTCCTCCTCCCTTTTGCTCATCTGCAGTTTCTGTGTGGAGGGAAGAGAAAACATTAGCATAGCACTCATGCTAATCCACTCAGAGAGTGAAAAGGGTGCTTCGTCTTAAACCTTTTTCATTATCATCTAATTATTAACTGAGGATCCTGAGAACTGCTAACAGGAGCCGAGATGCTTCGGTTGGGGAGGGGTGTGTGTGAATGTGAGGGAGTGTGTGTGTGTGCAGAGCCAGTGTGCATCTTTTATCTGTGCATTTCATGTTTGTTGAGAGGGAGGTTCTTTGTGCAATTTGCTTCTATCTTTGCTCTGACCTTTGATGCTGCTTGAAGTCATAAAAGACTCCAGAAGGTCAGACAGATGCTCTTGTCTGACTCTCTGTATAATTTAGGGCTTTATCCTGCTTTGATGGATATTCCTGCGCTGCTGCTTTGTACACCCAAACAGGTAAAGCCAGTCATGAGCCATTTCACATTTTTCTAATGTAGCAGCGTATTGTCTGGGTAATCACGCATATCCAGCTTTATTATCTCTACAAATGTGATCACATAAGGGTGGATTGTCTGCCTGAATAGTCAGGACATCAATGGTGCAAGTTGGATGATGAAATTTAGCTGGAGGTTATATTTTTTGTCGAACAGATGCTATTAGAATTCAGTTTAAAGCATCAGCTACGCTTGTTAAACTGAAGCAAGCAAGTCTCTCCATCATCTCCCTCTTCACTTGACCTTATCGTCTCACCAAATGCCCCGTCCTGATCCCAGGACAGATATCGCGTCGGAAAATGAAGCACATTTGCATTCCTTCAATGACGAAAGGGGGGGAGGAAAAAAAGACTTGAAAAATAACGTCGTCCGCCAAAAAACATCCTTATCAGAGCACCATGGGGAACAGTTAGATGGGCTGCAAAGCACAAGGTCTTTATCTCCCAGGCAGACCCCTCGGTGGACCACGTCACGCTGCTTATCAGCTGCACGGATGTCGCCCGAGAGTGGCGAGAATTTAACCGCTCTTGCAGCTTCAACTTTTTGTCCTTTTCCTTGTTATGCATGTCAGAGGCGTCCTTGAACCCACGAGACTCTGGAAGTGCCAGGACTTTGTGAGAAGCGTCACATCTGGCTTGTAACCTCCAACGTAGTGTCTAGCTCAAAGGTCAGTCGGAGAAGTTGCTGCTGATTGAAAAGTTGATTGAAGAAAGCTGGCTCTGACGGAGAGCAGCGCTGATCATTACGTTAATGACGAGATCCGTGACCCTGTTTGTGAAGGTTGAATGGAGCTGGGCTAAAAGCTGCAGTTTTAAAGATTACAATTAGTTTGCTGATGCATTCATTTCATTCATTTCCACTTGCAATTGTCACATGTCTTCATACAACATCATAAGGAAGTGCAAAACACAAAAAACATTTTTACTGAGCAAAACACGGCGGGCTGGAGAACTGAACTGGCTCCAGGGCTCAGCCTAGATGGTATCATGCGTTCAGGAACACTTTGATCTTCTATCTCTCGTCCCTTTTTCCAAGTAACTGTACTCAACAGTGAGAAGGCAATTTTAAGCTTAAGTTTTCATAAAATCTCTTTAAATTTTAAATTTAAACAGCAGCATAAAAGAAACCCTCATTACTTGCACTTTATGAGCCATTTCTGGCTCCCTTTTTCTGCTTTCAGTGAAACTTTTCTCGCTAAGCCACTGCTGGCCTCTCTTTGAATTATAATGCCTTCCTTGATGTATTTTCTTCCAGCTGCAAATTATGGGAGTAATGGAAGGTATTCCAATTCATGTCTCATTTTCTGCTTGTGAAGGGATTTCCCTGGAGATGCCTTTTCTCTCTTGTGTTTCTTCTGCCTTTCCAGTATCTCCCTCTTGACAAATGTGTGGTAATGGAAGGGTTGTTGTGAAATTGCTATTATTTTCAAAATGGAATCTGACCATATTGAGGCTTTTAGCTCTTCAGATGTGTGTGTTGAGATGAGACAGGTTGCACTGAGCAGTTTGAAGTGAGCTTGTCACCAAGGGACAGATGTTGAGCGGAGGAGGGGAGCGGGTAAAGGAAGAGGGAAGAGTGAGGGAGTCTTTTTTTCTTCTTCTTCTTCTTCTTTTGGCACCTGAGTAAAATAAAAGCCACTCTGTCTCTTCTTCCTTTTGAGGCGACGGTAATCACGTTTCTGCAGCCCGTCGCTGAACATTCTGTTCTGTGGTTGACTTGCTGTAGCTGCCCTCTGGACCCTGAGGGAGAAACAAAAACAAAAATCCAGAAGAACCTTAAAACCGAACAAGGAAAAAAGGCAGTCTGACAGCTGGACGCTTAAGGCCTATATTAGCCTTGTTGGGGACAACGGCATTGTCGTGAAAATACAGCGTTTCCGTTTGTAATCGCTGCGTTGGTTAACTATTACATATACCTCGGTGATATCATGCATTGGTAGCAGCTGCCTGTCTACAAGATACCTGATTAACATTCAGTATTTTACGGTAGCCTGAGGTTTTTTTCAGTTTTGCGATGCTGGCATTCAGATTTGCTGACTCTTTCAAATAATCAAAGAGAATGTCAAATGTGATTATGAGTGAAATATTCCCTCACTGCCTGGCGTTCTCCTCACAATGATTGCTTCAATCAGCACAGCTGTGGAGAGGCGCAGGCCCGCTCAGACACAGCCTCTCATTTCCACCGACAAATACTTAACTCTGCAAACAGCGCACAGCCTATTTTAGGGAGTGAGCTGCTTTTGGCTTTCTCCGCTGATCAATACGGCCATAAATTTATAGAACAAGAAACCAAGGTCTCGGGGCTGGTTAGAAATTGAATCGCATGGCCCGAGGCTACGGGAAGGTTTGTAAATGATCTGTGTGATCAGGACCGACAGAACAAGGTTGATAACAGGAAAGAGCTATCATAACAACTAAGCAGAAGAAGGAGATGGAGTCATCATTAAGTGATATTAGTTTCTTAAATGTACAGTCTCTGCAGTTCAAAGAGGAGCTCCTGAATCCTAATATGGTAAAAGGGCCCAAGTGGTCGCACAGATTGATATTCAGACGACTGGAATAACGTGGAAGGTGCATTTTTGAAAGACGACAGCAGCTTTCTTCGAGTACACAACTGATGTTTGTTGTCAGAGTTTGATTGCATTGCTTGTAATTGAAGGTTTTTCAGAACTTAAAGTTAGCGTTCATTTTATTTCTAGCCATTTCCTTAACTATGCTGCTTCAACTCCATATCATAAAAACAGAAGTGCTGAGGATCTGTAGTGTTTTTAAAGCCGTACTACCAGCAGTATTTTTTGCTCTGGACTAGTTTTGCATTGTCAGACCATTCTGTGGTTGCACCATCTTATCATTCTACTATAGGGGTAAAAATCTTGTTTGTATTCATTTCACACACATATTGGGTGGAGCTTGGCTAAGGTTGCAGCAGCAGTGTTCCCTGAAAACAGTGTCGGGGGGATTGTTTTGGTGGAACATTTGCACCATCATCAAGCCATATGAAATGCACAGCAAATGGTGGATCTGCATCTGGTGAATCGGACTACTGTGGTCCAGAGTGAAATGGCTCCAGTACAGTTAGATGAATGGCAGTGCAAACGTTTGTTGTCCCAAAAAGTGACTGGATTTCTTTACCTCTAATGCCATCATGAGGATGACGTGTGTTTTATAGTCCACTCTATTGACCTACCTTGGTAGTCCCCTGACTGTTTCTCAAATTCCCACTTTAGATCACACATTTCAATTATCCAGTGACATTTCGTCTACCCGATGGATTTTACTCATCATAATGAATTGCACTGACTCTCTCTAGTGTCACCATGATGTTGACATTTGTGGTTAAGACTGAGAAGTTTCAACAACGACTGGATGGATCGCCAACAAGTATTAATACAATCATGACTAATGACTAATGGACACCCCCACTGAGCTCAGCTGTGTTTTGTGTTCTAAACTAACGTGGTAAATACCTGCTAAAGATCAGATTGTGAGCCTGATTATTGTGTTAGCTCAAAGCACTGCTGTCCATAAGTACAGCCTCAGAGAACCGCTAATACGGCTGTGTCTGGTCTTGGTCTTGCATAACTGGTGTTTAATTTGGTGATAAAAGTGATGACGCAGAGTAAGAACCTGTTGTTTCTCTTTATCTCAGCAGGTCTACCCAGGCTGTACGCAGCCCTAGTAAACTATCATGCTGGCCTGTATCCAGAGACGGCAGAACCTCTCGTCGCAGCGTTTGGCCTGCACACCTAAAAGCCTCGATGTCCCACCGCCGCCATTACTGCTGCCGGTACCACCGCTGCAGCCATGCACCCACAAAGGTGAGTCTACACGAAACAATAGATTAAATTTCGTGACTGTTTCACGAATTGCCTTAAGACTGGGTTGACCCTCGAAAACAACGTATCGGCCCAATTTGCAGTTGAATTTTTTCAGGCGGCAGCGTAACGGGCCGTTACTCTGTTATGACGCTGGCGAGAACCTTGTATGCAATTCTTCTTCTTCTTACTATTATTACTATTTGGATAATTTATTTAATGACTGAATGCTTGTTCACATACGGCACTGATAGCCAATCAAAATGAATGTAACAGACAGTCGCCATATACCGGAGCCGCTATACCGGGCTGCAGGGTTGAAAGGGTTAAGCAGAGACGACAAGCCCTTTGGTTGCTGGTGCAAAAAATTTGAAGGAGCCGGGTGCTTGCTTCTGTACCATCTGCTCAAAAAAAAAACTCATGTACGCAACTAGCGGCAAAAAAGTGCTGTCAGATCAGGGGTCAGACCGCGGCCATAGAGCTGCTGTCTGCTCTGAAACTCACAACTCACAGCAGCATCAATGACTGACCGGGTTTGTGATTTAAAAATACGCGTGTGCACGTTCCTTGCAGAACCTGACTTGTCGTTAACCACATCTCAGCCACTCGTTAATCTGTGCAAAGGTTGGCTGAAGAGCAAAATGCTTTGTCAAAACTGTTTGTTACATAAATACACGTGATATAGCACCAGCGTTTAGGATAAGTCTGTCTGAAAAGCTCAAAAGATTTGTCTTTTCATTGAATGTTGACAAAGTGTTGTTTTTCAAAACTGGAAAAGCCCTCTGAACAAGCGCAGACCTCCACCAAGCAGCTCATTTCCACCATATTGTGATTTCCAACCAGTGTTAAAGTCCTGCATTCATTTTATCTACACGATTAGATACATAGATAATCAAAACATAGCTTTAGCATTTGAATTAACACTGATATCATTAGTAACAAGCTGACGGAGTGATGATAACCTCCTTGGTGGAGGTAATAAATAGTGGTGCACATATTGTTCCATGTCTTTTACTGATTGGTTGCTAAACAATATATTTGCACCATGTTGTAGCCAGATGGAGGACCTACCACGACCTATTGACCTTCTTTGGTATTACTATAATCTGTAGTCTGAGTTTGGGGAGACAGATATCTTAATATCTTACTAATTAGCCACCCAAAAGCAAAAAAAGTTCAGGCTCTGGATTATTTTTCACTTTAAGCCCTTACATATAGCAAATACCACACAAATACCACAAACGTATCAGCAGCGTCTCGGTCACGTACCTGACTCACTTTGTAAAAGTCAGGCTCTGCTTGACCTTCTCGGGTTTTTTTTTTTTTTTTTTATCAGTATGCTGAGATTTCAGTTTGCTGTGAGGCTTCTTGAATTAAAATAATGAGCCTCTTGATGATGATGCCCGTTAATTGGGTTAGTAATCAGCGTGCTCCTGCAGCGCAAATGCATGCAGGTCAAAGTGGACTCTAAAATTACAGAGTTAATCAACTCTCCCATACAGGGTTACTAACGACGTTCACATTTTGAGCAGAAAGTGCTTCATGTCAGTGCTGTTTGACCTTCATCTTGACTGATTATACTGCGTTCGTTGAAAGGTTGAGTGGGTATCTTTGGGACTGGGATTTGTGATTAGATTTCTTTCAATTAACTGATTAAATGCAGCGTGTCTGCAGATTTAGTTCTTGGTCTGAACCTTGCTTTCTTGATGTACTCTATATCCATGTTATTTGTTCAGCGGTCCAAATTGCGTAGTCTTTTTCTTCCTGGGCAGCCTACATTCACATAATGAGATCACAGTGCCACAAATGAATTTATTCTGCTGTGGTTTCCTTTTCTCTATTGCTTTAAAAATTGCTGATGCATTGTAGTTCTGGTCCGAAGCTGCTCTATATCGAAGATCTATATCTACTTACAATTTAATTGTTCTGCCGGGCGTGTTTTTCAGCCTTATGAATGTACTTAGCCATGAAACATAACTTATTTTGCTCGCTTTATGGATGTTCTGTTTTCTTTTTCGGTGTAGGTGTTGTGTCGTTATTATTTTGAGGCTGTGCTATCATGCATCATTTATTGTGTTTTATTTGGACCCGTGGGAGATTAGCTGCTGCACTGCAGAAGCTAACGGGGATTGTTGTAAGTGAGCAGAAACAGAACCGCTCAGATTGTGGTTTCAAGGAAAGCAAGAGCAACCGAGTGCTGACCGAAACATTGTGAGATTTCATATTTTTCTCTGACAAAAACACAAAACTTCACTGTATACATTATATGCAATAGCTTTGTCTGTATAGTATAAATGATCCTTGGTTAGGTCTGGGTTGGTTTGTTTGCATGGGCCTGTGCATCCTCATATAGGCTCCTGGAACGTACTAATACGCAAAGTTTAATCTTCCACTGACATTCCTAAATGCATGTTTTAGGAATAGTATGGAACGCATACAAAGCACATCATTACTTCCACATTTAATGACCCCGTAATTACCAGATTTCAGTGACACCTGCACCCAACACCTGCACGATCACACAGGAGTTTTCACTTATTTCGGATAATTAGACATCCGCTCGGGTCGGAGTTGAGTGGAACCACGTTGCTCAGGTCACTAAACCCCGTGCACTTAAAAGGACCATTAAAGCTGTCCGGATCTAACAGGTGCAGCGAGACTAACAGGACGTTCAGCGAGATGTGAACCAACTGCATTGCATAATAATGAAGCCAGTTCGCCGTGTGCCGGTTTGACAGATTGTAGTTAATTATTACATCTCCCTTATTTACCAAACAGTGTGTATCCAACCGCACTCCGATCTGAAATGCTGGAAATTCTGTTCGTCTTAACCTCCATCTACTCATCTCTCGTTTCCTCGGGTGAAATACCTCTTTGTCTTTTTCCTTTTTTTTTTTTTTTTCGTTATTAAATATTAATTGGGAATCAGTGGAGCACTTGTCTGCTAAATGTGGGAACAGAAGGGCCTAGTTCGCCTCAGGCAGAACCACGGATGCATTTCTCATCCTGTTTACCTGCAGGGGCCTCCTCCACCCCCCCTTTGAGTTTTATGTACTGCGACTGTGCGTAGTGCAGAACCCTCCAGCTCCGGTCTGACATTTCAAGCGCAGCCACAGGGAATAGACTGCTGATGGGGAGCTCCGTCTGTGTGGTCCAGGCTTCTTCATTAAATGAGTCGTCGCTGGATCAAGTTAAATAGAGACGGTCTTTAGCCACTGCTGCGCTTTTGAAAGCCATTTCCATTTTTAGCTATCAATAAACGCGCAGGACACGAGAGGTCTCGCAAAACCCATGTGAGAGATTTCCCAGAAACCAGTGTTAGGAATTATGCGATGAGAGCGAATGAGCGCTCTGCTCTTCTCCGCTATCTCAGCTTTGAAAGCAGGGGCTGGAAATGCTTCGTTGTTTTTTTTTTTTTTCCCACGCTGCTGGCCTGTGCTCCGTTTGGCTTTGAGAGGGGAAACTTTGCCCAAGCTGGGCCAAGCGGCACAGAAACAAATGAGGAGTGACACTGGTGCAAAGAAGCATTCGCCAGAGCCTCCTCGAGCACACATAACTGAGCGTTCGACCCCGAGGTTACTCTGTTTCGCGACGACCCTTCATGTAGAGATTGCTGACGCACAGAAAGACGGAGGCGTGTTGTGAGAATCGGGCGAACGAGTGTTTACTGAAGAAAGTTGTTAATGTGAGTGAGATTTAAGAGCGTATGTTCTGGAGGGCCTGCGTCTTCCTGCACTGTGAAATGTAGACTATTAGCTCTTAAGTGTCACATTGTGGATGACTCTAAACCAGGGGTGTCGACATCCGGTCCTCGAGGGCCGCAATCCTGCATGTTTTAGATGTGTCC